GAATAAATTCGACTCCGCAAACGCAATATGGCGGGATATGCATCAACATTTTAAAGTTTTTTATCATGTATTACGATATTAAAACGAGATCCAAAAAGCCTTGTCACTATAGATTGTTTCTACTAAATTTAATGTTGGTCAGACAAGCACGGTATGTTTACTACAATATTTACCATTAACTTTGCATTTACTGTAAATCTATATTTTCATGATCAGTTCATATTTTGTGAATGTGATTGTGTATCAAAATATTTCTCCTAAAATTCTGCGCTTATCGTTGGTTCAGTAGTTCTGCTGCCGGTTGTATATAAAAACAGTTCAGTGTAGAACGTTGCAGTTTGAGCTGTTGATATCATAGATACCTTACTATAAGTATAACAGTATTTGAGTAAAGTTTGATAGTCATGTGATAGCTGTATAAAAGCTGAGCTGAGAAACTGTTGTCTCTGTTCCGACGTCCAAGAATCCGAAAGGTTTGCAGTATAACGCCCAACTCGTTCGTTTTCCGCTCCCCATTCTAGCAAACGGCTAATAATTTCGATTTTCCTCTCAAATACTAAGCCCTGCTCAAATTCATTGAAAGTATGTTGACTTTCCAAAGCCGTGAGCTCAGCTACGGTTTGGGCTTTGCAAATCTTCTCAGCCAAATTCATACTATTAGATCAAATATGCTCTGTGATGTTTTCTCTGTGAAAGCAGCGCAAACAGTACGTCAAGCTATATTTTTCGAACCGATTTATACTTAATGTTTATTGACGATACACCTAGTGTACAGCGGTCTCCGCAAACGTAGTGTAAAGTGAGCTGAAGCATAATCACGCGCACATCATGTTCGTCCGCGTACGATCTTAATTCAACGCTTAACTTTGCGTGCGACAACACGGGGGCGCAAAATAGAAGAAAACTCAACTAGTACCTACATGTACTGCCTTAAATCAATTAAAGAGAACGAACAGGGCATTTAGGCAAGTACCCGCCATGGAGATGAAGCAGAAAGAAGCCGAACGCTCAAGAAGAAATAGACGGAAACGAAAAAATGAGTTTGAACTATATAAGAAGTTCTACAAGTATGCTATTGAGAACGACCTGCCGTTTGTGCTAGATTTCGAAGCAAAACGGCAGCGTCGTCAACCGCAAGAGCAACCGGTGCAAGAAGAGCAACAGCAGCAACAACCGAAGACGAGTGATTCAGCAATGGTAGACGACATTTTGATGTTGACCTCAGTGGTTTCGAATGGTAAAAAAGAAGAAACAAAAACTCCGGCTCTTTTAAGAGCCATTACTTTTACAAAAAGAATATTGAACGAAACTCCGATGTTCATACATTCACATCTTGTATACACGCTCCCACTGAATTTACATCGCTAAGACACACGCACAAACTAACACACAGTGTTTTAAACATCCTGATTCACACATAAACTAATACAGAAAGTTATGTTTTAAAAAAAATTATAAAGCCTTAAAGCAAAAGCTTGAACTCCTCAAGTTCATCAAGAGTTACATGACGATCTTTCCCAAAGATTTTAGGGGTAACACGAGTTCGTACTGATTTTAACAGCAAAATATTATTGCCAAAGCTACAGCGTTCAGGTTGACTACATGCATCAATTAACACATGCCACATGGATTAACCTTTGTACCGACGCGACAGTTACATTGCACGCAAAAAACCTCTAAAAAAACACAGATTACGCATAAACTAATACACAAAATTATGCTTTAAACAATTTATTTCTCAAAGCAACAGCCTTACATCAATAAACAATGTATAAGCGTTACACAATATATTAAACGTTTACACATAATGTCCTAGTACTAATTGTTCGTGCAATAAAGCGTACGCGCTATAAAGCGTACGCACGGCTCTGTTCGCACTCAATTG